TTTTCAGAAGGTATATTCTACAAGTCTGAAAAATATATACCTCAATGTTATTAGCAACCGATGTTCTGCTGAGATAGATTGACGACGACTATTTTTGGTCAGATATGGAGATACTTCTTCTAATAATTTATAAAATGATTGCTGAGTCATTCTGGTATAATTAAAAAATTTATCAGGAAAGTTTTTTAATTCCTGAAAGAGAGTGTTGAAATGTCCTAATTTTTGTCGTTGCTGATTAATGGGATGTACCTACCACTTTCTGGAACGTTTGTTTTTATTTTTTTTAGTATTTAAAATATGCTTCATTATCAACATTGATAATTCACAATTTAAAAGAACAATATTTAGTTCTAAATCACGATCCATATTTTTTCAATGACAAATTTATGTTCACCTAATTATTCAGCTTTTCATTGAAAAACTTCAAAGAAAAATTACATTCAAATCCGCCAATTGTTTTTGAACAAAACAATTTTTGTGTTACATCTTTCTGTGTTCATTTCATTAAAGTTGATGTCTGTAGTGAGAAATAATTATAAGAAAATGTCTGAAGAAGCGAAACAAGGAGATGAATTATTAATATCGTTAGTGAGATCATATGAGCATTTGTGGGATAAGAATAATGAAAACTATAAGGATCATCAAATGAAGGAGACGTCATGGTCAGATATAGCATCAGCTATGGATATGACTTGTAAGATTTAAAAATAAAATAGATCTACATTGATCTATTTAGATCTTTGTTTTGCGACAATTAGATCTACTTTGTTCTGTGTACATCTGTTTTGGTCACTTTAAATCTTCCGTGATTTCTGTAGATGTATTAAATTTTTTTTATCATCGAGATCAATGGAAATCTCCATAGACATACTGTAATTTGTATAGATATACAGTGATCTTACTAGATATCCATAGATTTACTTAGATCAAATTTTTTTTAGTTTTTTAAATATGAGTAGATAAAATTAGATCTAAAAAATGGCAGTTTCAAAAACTACATTTTATTTATTTAAAAATTTCAATTTTATTATAGCTCACAATTGTCAATCACGATGGAAAAGGTAGAGAGAGTATTTTTCTAAAGAGAGGAAGAAAAGAGAAGACGAAGCAAGAAGTGGTAGCAAGGGAAAGGTTCGAAAGCCTTGGCCACTATATAAAGAGATAAATTTTTTAGAAGAAACAATGCACAGGAGAAGGTAAATATACTACAAACTCATGTTCACAAAATTAATTGACATTTTAAGGTGATATAGTCTATTCTAATCTAACAAATTTTTAGAGTTAAACTAATGAAAAAAATAAAACTGATTTATGTTTTTTATAGCTTTTAGAAAGTTAATTAATTGTTACAGAACGTATTCAAGTTTCAAAGAAAAAGATGACTTAGAAAATGAAAATTCAAAGAAGAAGAAGAAGAAGAAAAAGAAGAAAAAAAAAAATCAAAGAAACAAAAAATTAATGAAGCTAATAAGTCAAGGTGTATAATAAAAGAAGAACATTCTTATAAAAAAACTAAAGGAAAATGTAATAAGTCAAGTGAAATGTTAGAAGGATTTAGTACAGTTAGTTCTTCGATCAAAAAAATAAACGAAAAAATATTAAATAAAGAGAAAAGTAGAGATGAGACGTTATGCAAAATGATTTTAAGAGAATTACAAGAGAGTACAGGATCAAAGAAAAAGACTTTGAGAAAAAAATTATTGAAAGTTATTGTTGAAAATTTGGATTCTGATAGTGAATAAATTTATTGCGTAATTAGTAATTTATATTCTTGAAAATAATGTTAACAACTTTTTAATCTAAAACTAATGATATTGAATAAAAAATTTATATATTGTTACACAAATACAATCTTCATTTGTATTTAATAAAGTTTATATATGTAAATAAATTCTAATTATTGTTACAAAAGTTATACAAGCAAGTTATTCATTTTTTGTCAAAGCTCCATGTTCTTTCAAAGACAAAATCGAATTCTCATTTGTAATAAAAGAGAGTCTAAAGGAACTCGTTGAATCTCTGGAGTTGAATATCTATTCAATGCATTACATTAGCAGTTCTGTAAATTAGATGAAACTAATAAAGATCAAAATAATTATTTATTATATTTATAATGAAATATAATAATACAATACCTTTCAAGAGATGTAATAATGTAATTAACACTCAGTTAAATAAAATTACGTATCAGGCTTATACACAATTTTATCCAAAAATATTAATTGTTTTAAATTAATAAAAATCATTTATTCAATAAAAATTAATGATTTATTTTTTCGAATTATAAAAATGCATTTATTTATAAAATTTTCGCACATAAACACACTAATATATATTTCTTCTTCATTATTTGCACTAGATATTTGAATAAATTTAAAAATCACCACTGTACATAAATAAAATTTAAAGTACACATATACATTGAATAAAGCATTGACATTTCCGCTTATGTTTACGATAGTGTTTAATGTTCCGTTCCTATAGACTGAGTTTTGTTTCTTATTCCTAAAGTTTAATGTCTAATGTCCTATTGTAGACGGGGCTTAAAGTACAACCAAATGAACATTGCCATTTTATAGTTCAATGTCTTGTTCCAGATATTACACATCAAAAAGAAAAAAAAAAGAAGAAGAGGAGTTGGAAAAGAAAAGGGTTCGACAAATTATTAAAAATATTAGATGAAAATTAAATAGACTTAAAATCATGTTTTCATGTTTTTTGAATTTTTCATAATTTTGAGGTACAGATAAATTGAAATATATATTTTTTTTGGTAAATAAATAAAAAAATATAAAAGAAAAAAATCAATGAATATTCTACTAATCATCATGGATATACTTTATATCTAATAAATACATGTACTAGAGGATCATTGAATAAATAAACACAATAAAGGTTAAAACTGTTTCTACTCTACCAACATTGTAAATTCACTGCTAGCACATTTCGAAAGGGGCACAAATGTTATATGACCAAAATGTTCAGGACAGTATAGTTCTGGTACGAATGTCGCTCCAGTACAATAGTATAAGGCATTAGAGACGCAACGGTTAAAATTGTGTTAAAATTATTAATAATTTTTTTCAAAATTACTTTTTATTTGAATTGAGTTTTTGGGAAAATTCTAAATATAGATTTACAGAAGAATTCAAATAGTTATTCTGTTGACTTTTGATTCACTCTCATGTGAATGCAGCATGAATCTTCTGTCTACTTACGACTTCATTCTGAACGGTCAATTTCCCCCTTAAGAAAACCAAAGTGTACAAAGTCTAGAGATTGTTATTTATTTCATAATGTTCAACGAAAAATTAAGTTACTCATGAATGATAAGTAAGGTAGCTAATCTATTTTTTACATTTAATCACAATAATTAAAAATTGAACATAATAAGTATTTCTTTTCTTTTATTTGTAGGAAATTCTCATGAAAAAGTTGATGGTGGGAATGCAATGAAAGAGAAATTGTATCCTACTAAATTGAAGAAAAAGAGAGAATGGAAAATTTAAAGAATAGAATTTAAAATTTATGTGTTCATATGAATTATTGCACTAATTATTTTACTTACATCTCCTCACTTATTACTTTTTAGATTTTAAAAAAAAAATTGAATTAAAAAAAAAATTTCCTTTTTTTTATAAAAATTTATTTAAACACAATTAACTTGGCGTGGCTCTTACAGCTGTAGATAAAACGATAATTGATTAGATGGTTCATATAATTGATAGCCACGCCAAGTTAATTGTGTTTAGATAAATTTTTATGAAAAAAGAGAGATCCCTGGTGGCGTGAAAAAATCCTGTCGTCACTTCTGGAAGCTGGGCCTGGAGAATCACAAATTTCAAAGAGACGAAATCACAGAATGAGATAACCAACGTAGTGGTCGCTAAGATTGTTGTGAGGACGAACTGTCCACCGTCATGAAACACGGTTTCACTCTGAAGGTGGACAGACCATAGAATTGAACTATGCAAGAAGTTATCACTAACCCCAACGTGGAGTCTTGTGTACTAAGCGATGACACACACGGTGTGTCCCTAGGCCTTATATCAAGGACCACGTAATTCCACCAAAGAACGAAAAAGAATACAGAGATATTCTTCACACTGTGGGTGATTAAAGAAAAGGTTCCCGGAAAGAAATTCAGAAGACGAGTAAGAGTCGCGACGCGCGGAAAGAAGAAAAGGAACCGAACTGAAGGTGTCGAAGGATCACACAGAACTGGCTGGGTCCTGAGAAAAAGGAGAGGGGTGATAAGAAAAAAGGGAAGGCCTGGTCTTTTGTTCAGGACTCTGGGTTTTTTGGTGTTGAGAACATGGAAAGTTCTTCACACATCTGGCAGGAGGAAAATTCCACCCGTTGGTGACCACATGTTTGCAGGCTGTGGAAGGCTTAAGTGCAAACATGGGAAATCACCGCCATAAAAAAGTTCAGGCGCGCAGGTACACGTGTGCGTGAGGAACCATGAGAACTCATGCTTCCCATTTTTTATTTTTTGTGAGGAGAGATCATAAAAAAAAATGAATGAGGTTATTCTTACCAAATTTCAAACATTCCCGCCCGCCTTCGATGATGCAGGCCGCGAATTATCTGGAGATGGTACTTCAATTGGTAATGGGCAGAGCTTCGAGATTGGTCGTGTTATGGTTGTTGAGCTAGTCTTGATCGTGGCCACGCGAATTAATCCATCCTGCCCAGGGTGGACTTGTGTAATTCTGCCCAAGGGCCATTTTGAAGGTGGGTATCGTTCATCTATTATTAAAACCAATGTACCTAACTTTATTTCCGTTGAAGTCTTGTTCCATTTATATATGGCCTGTTGACGTTGGAGATATTATTTCATCCATTTTGTCCAGAAGCTTTGAGTCATTTGACTGAGATGTTGCCATCGCGAGAGTCGTGAGGACTTCACGTGCTCGAGATTAGGCTCTGGAATAGTGTTTAGTGGTTGACCGATGAGGAAATGCCCTGGGGTTAATACTTCCAGATCATCTGCATCCTCAGTTAGTGGGCATAGAGGGCGGGAATTGAGAACGGCTTCGATTTGACTGAGGAATGTGCTGGAGCTCTGTTGATGCTACGGTGAAGAGTTGTTTCAACGCTTTCTCTGCTCCTTTAAAGGTCGTTCCGCAATCGCTATTGAGGGTTGCACAAATGCCGCGTCGTGAAACAAAGCGACGATATGCTGCAAGAAATGCATCGGTCGTGTAGTCGCTTACTACTTCAAGGTGAATGGCAGAAGTAGCTAAACAGACAAATACTGCAATCCATGATTTATGGTGTTTATTCGTTCGTCCTTTCCAAGCTTTAAGTACAAGTGGCCCTGCATAGTCAATCCCTGTATGCAGAAAGGCTCTTGACGGGGTAACTCGGCTTGCTGGCAATTGTCCCATCAACTGCTGAGCCTGTGAGCGTCGAAACCGAGTACATTTGACGCATTTAAGGATGAATGATCGAACAGGTGACCTTCCTCCGATAATCCAATATTTACTGCGTAGATACACCAACGTTTCTTGAGTGGAACCGTGAAGAGTCTTCATGTGAGCGTCGTGGATCAAGAGAGTTGTTAGGTGTGAAGATCGTGGTAGAATGAAGGGGTGCTTTGTGTTTGTTGGTAACAATGAGTTTTTCAGACGTCCACCCACTCGAAGGAGTCCGGTTTTGTCAAAAAACGGCGTCAATTTGAGCAAAGGTGATGATTTTGACAGCTCTTTATGGGATGAGAGCTTGTCGATTTCACCCCCGAAGTACGCTGTTTGTTCATGCTTGATCCAGTAGCGAGTAGCGTTATCTAGTTCCTCAGGAGAGAGAGGTTCATTCAATAATGATTCTCCATGATGTCGAAATCGAAGAAGTGCTCGGTGACACACAGCAGTGACTCGGATGAGTCTTGTCAATGAAGAGTATCTGGCCAACAGGTCATTTCGAATGACTTGGCTGGTCTGGATGCGAATAGGGCGGCATTCTAACTCATCAGGGTTGTCAACTCGGGCTGGTCTCGTTGATGGCCAGTTGGACGAGTCTTCAATTAGCCATGTTGGTCCAGTCCACCAGATTTCGTGTTCACAAAGTTCCTTGGCGGAGAGCCCTCGTGTGGCGCAGTCAGCGGGGTTCACCTTGCCCGGGACGTGTCTCCATTGTGCTGTAGGTAATGTGTCTTGGATGAAGCAAACACGATTATGAACGAAATCTTTCCACTTGGATGGATGTTCATTTAGCCAAGTCTGCACAATAAGCGAATCAGTCCATAGGTAACATGGGATTTGGTAAATCTTGAGAGTTTTGAGGCAATGTGACACTAGTCTTGTAAGAATTACAGCAGATGAAAGCTCAAGTCTCGGGATGGTCATGCGCTTGAGCGGTGCAACTTTGGTTTTCGAGCAAAGTAGCGAGGTTGTAACTTCGTGAGATAAAGATGATACTCTGATGTAAACGGCGGCGGCCATCGCTGATTGAGACGCGTCACAGAAGCCATGTATTTCGACACTTGAATCCTGAGTAGTACCAATCCATCTCGGAATTGTGAGGTGTGGAATTCCTTCAAGAGATTGTAGAAGTGATTGCCATGTTTTGATTTGCGATTCACCCAATTGGTCATCCCAACTCAACTTAATCGCCCATAATTCCTGCATGAAGACTTTAAACTGGATGAAAACTGGCGATAGGAACCCTAACGGGTCAAAAAACTGAGCAATCTTAGATAGGATGGATCGCTTCGTAGTTTTAGTTGAAGTTTGCAGTTGTGAGGGGGCCTCAAAACGAAAGCAATCACTCTGAGAGTTCCACAGTAGACCTAGTGCATGTATAGTATTATCGGCTAGCTTAAGAGTTGATGTAGATAACTTATGCTCTGGTGGAATGCGATCGAGAACACTTTCTTCATTGCTGACCCATTTGCGGAGTGGAAATCCACCCGTCATGCACATGTTTTTTACTTGGTCTGCTGTCTGCTGAGCTTCTTCGATGGTGTCGGAGCCCCCAAAAATGTCATCTACGTAACGTCCTTCCGTTAATGCATTGATAGCACGAGGAAATCTAGGTCCCTCATCTTCAATCAGCTGAGTGATGGCTCGTAAAGCAAGGAAAGGGGCGCAAGCGAGCCCATAGGTCACAGTTGTGAGTTGGTATTTGATGAGCTGATTGTCTTCCTTCCATAGAATTCTTTGATAATCCCAGTCTTCAGGGTGAACTTGAATTTGCCTGTACATTTTTTCAATGTCGGCTGAAAAGACATATTTGAATTTTCGAAAATTGATGAGAACGTCATTTAGGTCAATTTGTAGCTTAGATCCTGTGTGTAGCGTTTGATTCAGCGGAATGCCATTGGATGTCCTACATGATCCATTAAAAACTACTCGTAGTTTAGTGGTTGAACTGGTCTCGCGGATGACCCCATGATGTGGAAGGTAGAACACTGGGTGTGAGGTCTTCTCAGTATCCACGACTTCAACCATATGACCTAATTGCTTGTACTCCTGGAGGAATGATTTGTATGACTGATGAAAGTCAGGATTACTTTCAAATTTACGGTGTAGTGACTGCAGCATTCGGAAAGCAGAGGAAGTAGAGTCGCCAAGTTGACTCTTGTTATTCTTGAAAGGCAATTTGACGATATACCGTCCGGAAGGGTCTCGTTGGTGTGTGGCTTTAAAATGCTCCTCGCATTCTTGATCAGCGGTGGACAATGATTTGCTACCAGTTGGTGAGATTTCTTCCTGACGCCAGAACCGTTCAAGTGCACTGTGGAGATCTTCGTCAATAGCGTAATCATAAGTCTTTGGGTGATGAGAACAATTGTCTGAGGACGATGGTCCTGAGATAACCCAACCGAGTGATGTGAGTTGGGCTACTGGAGCTTTGATAGGTCCTTTAATTATTGGCCCTCTTAGCAATTCGCCATATAAATCAGATCCGATGATGATATCGATAGATCCTGGCTTGTAAAAAAATGGATCAGCGAGTGTTAACTCTTGTAGATGTGGCCATTGTTTTGGATTTGAAGGCTCAGATGGTAGTATGCCAGTTAGTTTAGGTAGGATCAATGCATGGACCGTTAGTTCAAACGATGAAGAAAAATAGGGATTTAGATGAAGCACCGCGAGTCCTCTTGATTTGCTGGTTTTGTTATTTATCATATTTAATGATAATGAGCCTGATTGACGTGGAATTTGAAGTTGTTGAACCAGGTTCTCTGTGACTAACGAAATTTCAGAGCCTTGATCTAGTAAGACTCGAGCTTGCAGGTAATTACCAAATCTATTTTTGATGTTAACGATAGCCGTAGGTAGAAGAACTGCTTGTCTTACAGTTGATGAAAACTGTGCATGATTTACCAGTTTTGATGGATCTTCAGTTGCTGCTGCAGCGGTTGTGGCCGGCTCTTTAGCTTTGGCAGATCCATAAATATGCAGTGATGTGTGGTGAGCTTTAGCACACTTCAGGCATCGTTGTGATGATCGACACTTCGAGACCACGTGGGACTTTAAGCAATTATAGCATAGTCGATGCTTATTGATTGCGTCTCGTCGTTGTGGAGTAGTCATCTGTTGGTACCTTGGACAGCGAGCTAAGTAATGTTCTTCACCACACAGCACACACTTATCCTTTTCATTGGGACTAGATTCATTGTTTCGACCGGAGAAGTGAACGCGGGCTGACGGTTGACGTGAATTAGGCATTGATTTTCCTGACTGCGAATGTTCATAAGCCTTTAATGTTTGAATTCTGGTTTCTAGGAAGATTTGCAGTTGCAACCACATTGGCGGGTTCTTGGAGGATCCGAGCTTTTGTTCCCATGCTTTAACAGATTCCGGGTCTAGTCGTTGCACTGTCAAAAACACGAGGAGGGAATCCCAGTGGTCTATTGGTTGCTTCAGCATTTTCAGGGTTCTAATTTCCTGAGTAATTGAGTTATACAACTTTTCAAGTTCGATTCCACACTCCTTTGTTATTCTCTTTGTAGCAAATAATGATGCAAGAGAAGAATGAATCAATAATCGCGGATTTTCGTGTCGTAGCACAACTGCATCCCACGACGGTTGAAAATTATCTGCAACTAATTCTGTATTTTCAAGGATTTGACCAGCAGATCCTGTTAGACAACTCTTCAGATATTGTAGTTTGACTTCTGGTGGAATTGAGGAATCGTTTATCACAACTGACGAGAATATTCCCTTAAATGATAGCCATTTGGAGAGCGTACCATCAAACTTTGGTAGTTCTAAGCGAGGCAATCGTGCACATCGAAAACCTGCGGACATTGATGCTAATGAACGATTGGGCGATGAAGCTCTGCTGCTGTTTTTATTAGCAAGGTTGTCTGAAAGCGCAGTTAATCTCATTACGGTGTCCAGATATGTGTCCCGAGTTTGATTAAAGATTTCTTTCTTGAAATATGACCGTTTTCTGAGACGTCGTTCATCGAAGGTGTCAACCCTTGACATTGCGAGGTTGATCGCTGAATGTTTGGTGCTAAATTGTTGCCACTGGTCTTGAAGCTCTTCTAACCATGACGAGATTCCTTGTTGAGAAAGATGATCTTCCTGGATGCTTAAAACCTTAGACCGAACCGAGGTGATAAACTCATGATGGTGCTGTTGTTCATCGATTCGACGATGCACGTGACTCGCCCTCATATTGCACTGTACACTTTTCTCACTATCACTTATTGTTTTTACTAGCAACTCACTCTCTATCTGGCTCGAAGGACCAGAAATGTTAGGATACCGGAGGTTGTGAGGAAGTTGCTCTATACGATTTTGACGTCACAATAAATATAATTTTATTAACGGTCTTTAAGCATTTCACAATCATAAAAAAGGTAATTATGTAACGAGCAATTTTCAAAGGATGACGATGAGATGCTGGGTGGTGATGATTCCTGGTGGCGTGAAAAAATCCTGTCGTCACTTCTGGAAGCTGGGCCTGGAGAATCACAAATTTCAAAGAGACGAGATCACAGAATGAGATAACCAACGTAGTGGTCGCTAAGATTGTTGTGAGGACGAACTGTCCACCGTCATGAAACACGGTTTCACTCTGAAGGTGGACAGACCATAGAATTGAACAATGCAAGAAGTTATCACTAACCCCAACGTGGAGTCTTGTGTACTAAGCGATGACACACACGGTGTGTCCCTAGGCCTTATATCAAGGACCACGTAATTTCACCAAAGAACGAAAAAGAATACAGAGATATTCTTCACACTGTGGGTGATTAAAGAAAAGGTTCCCGGAAAGAAATTCAGAAGACGAGTAAGAGTCACGACGCGCGGAAAGAAGAAAAGGAACCGAACTAAAGGTGTCGAAGGATCACACAGAACTGGCTTGGTCCTGAGAAAAAGGAGAGGGGTGATAAGAAAAAAGGGAAGGCCTGGTCTTTTGTTCAGGACTCTGGGTTTTTTGGTGTTGAGAACATGGAAAGTTCTTCACACATCTGGCAGGAGGAAAATTCCACCCGTTGGTGACCACATGTTTGCAGGCTGTGGAAGACTTAAGTGCAAACATGGGAAATCACCGCCATAAAAAAGTTTAGGCGCGCAGGTACACGTGTGCGTGAGGAACCATGAGAACGCTCATGCTTCTCATTTTTTATTTTTTGTGAGGAGAGATCATAAAAAAAATGAATGAGGTTATTCTTACCAAATTTCAAACAGAGATGATGTGTTAGCTCTGTGAGAAGAACACCAAGCTTTCATCTTACCGATTAGGGTTCGATCCCAGTCATCGCCAATTTTTTTTTTTCATTAAAATTTTATATAAATACAATAATTGGTTGTTTATATAAGTTCAAAATCAATTTCTATTGTCTTTTAAAGACAACACTTTCGAAAAAAGAGAATTCATAGTAACTCGTTCCTCACCCTCAGCTTATTTTCAGAAAAACAAGTTGTTTTCCGTAATTAATTGGAAGAATAATTTAATCAAATGTATGAATTAATTTATAAGTATATAAAGTCACTTAAGCAAAAAAAAAGAAAAAACAATTGCCTATGACTGGGATCGAACCCTGTCCAGCAAAATAAAAGATTGGTGCTCTAACCACTGAGCTATTATGGTTTCAATAACATTAAAGATGCTTGAAAATTATAAGCTGCAGGCTTGGGCACAGAGAGTGGGGATAGAGCTTGTCGGTGAAGTGTCGGAACTCGCCACAAATTGTTTAAACTACTTTTTATTGTTAATAAGTTGTTAAAAAAGGCTATTATCAATGTATTTGTACAAAAAAAAGTTAATGACCCTGTTCAAATATTGTCTCATTTGTCATCGATTGATTGAAAAATAATTTTACATAAAAATTGAAATTTAAAACTCATTTTTGGCATGATAAAATTGCAATTACATGCAATTTAAATAAAAGAACAATTTTGCCGCAATTGGAATCGAACACCGTTCGGTAAAATAAATGTCGAATCTTCTGACTATAGAGCCAGCATATTTTTATTTGCTTTGTTTACGTTTAGATATCATAAGCTTCAGGCTTGGTAACAGAGGGTGGGGGATGTGCTTGCTCGTCAACTGTTCGAACTCGCAGTCTTCTCTGAAAAATAAGACGGAGATAGATAGATATATTCTCTGCTCTGTCTTGCTCGAAACAGATTATTCAAAAATTTCTAAATTTCTTGGTGCCCTAAGGCTCCCTTTTTGTAGTGCATCCCTGAAAATTATCATTTTTCGAACGATTTCCCTGTTACCTACTCAATTTCAGTTGATATCAATTTTCGGCCTTTTGCCGCACAACACGAGGGCGTAAAGTCAACTCCGGGAAACTTTCTGACTTCAGCCCAGCCTTAAACATTTTTCTAAAAAATTTTTTTTCTCCTAGTAACTTTTATAAGCTGCCCTCTATCGAAACACAATAAAAGTAAATGTTCCATTTATAAAATTAGTCGACACAGAGAGGCGACTGATTCCCGTATCTAAATACATTGGATCGTAGGTTTCTAATTTCTCCGCGAATTTAGGTTTTTACTCGAAAATTTTGGTCCCAACTTAAAGCTTGTTTTATGATGCAGTGCGCTAGATAGCAATTTTGATTATACAACTAATTTTTTTAATTAAAAAATTAAAAAGAAAATTGAACGATTATGAATTGATTTGCCGCGCTTCAATTCCAAGATGGCCGCTACAAGGTTATAAAAAGAAATCGTGAATTATTTATTTTCTATCTAATTTCAGCTGCTAAACGACGAACTTCCTATTAGTAATTGTTTATAACAAATTTAAATAGTTATGAACAATGCGTAATTTTTAAGAGTCATATCTTATCATTAATAATATTATTTCACCGATAGAATCTAAATCCATGTGATATACGCATTAGTTATTCGATAAATGCAAATTTCAATTGTTTATAACAAATTCATATTGTTATCAACAATGTGTAATTGTTAAGAGTCATAGCTCATCATAAATAGTATTATTTTGTTCCAATTTTACACTCAGGTCATAATATTTTGCTCCCTTGGTTAACAATGTACTATTTAAAGATTCGACTCAAAAGTACCATGAAGTCAAATTCTTAAAAAAATTTTTGCGCTCTTTGTTTTTTTATATGTGTTAATACTCCGTCAACGCCAGCGTTTGCATGTTGACATGTATTACAATTACTAAAAAAGTGGTGGGGCGATATAAGTTCGAGCAGAACCGCGTGTAGTGATCATGCAAGACAGTTCGATAATACGTAGAGATAATATCTTTTCCGATTGCAACAAGTGTACACGTGTTGTCTCGGTCATTATTAACCTTTTTATACAATTAGTGAATTTATTAATGCGTGAGTGAATAGTTAGTTTTACATTAGTGATTTCATAAGTGTGTTTTTTACAATGGGTCAACAAAAGAATAAGAGGATATCCCACTCATGGAGGAGAGTATATGTGAAAAAGTAAGTATTATTGTATATATTCTTCATGAAAGAAGTTATTAAATTACTTAATAATAAAATTATAGACTAATTCATACTATTTCCTTTGATTTAAAAATTTCCGAAGCGAGATTCTTTTTGTATTAGTTTGACAACAACACAGAAAATCCGTTATTTGTTTTATGAAATGACATTTTCTACTTATGTACTCAGCCTATTCTCTCATTATTAAGAATTGATTTGTTAAATGGTGAGGCTAACATGATAAGACATTGAGAACATTGTCATTCAATTATTATTTAACATATAAGAGTGTCAACGTCAAATGCTTCATATCTAGGAAACACAGAGAGAAACAGTGTGTTGTTCTGTGTCTTTGTTCCAGTGGTTTAAATTTAATATCTGTGGAATATTAATTTTTAACTTAATTTTCCTAGACTTAGCATTACAAATTGAGTTATTTGAGAATAACTATTTGTTTTTCTTTTTTCTGGAAGTCAAATAGGATAAGTAGGGGGTTTTATTATCATAACTTTTTGGCGAAATTAATTTGAGAACGACATACATAACGGTGTTAGTATTAATAGTACATTTCACACCTAGGGAGGGAAAGTAGTCTAGCTCAAACCACGTGTAAAATTACAACCCGAGCCGAAGGCGACGGTAGTAAACACGTGGTTTAAGCTAGTCTAATTGTCTTCTCTAGGGCTGAATATGATTTGTCGACATACCTGCGTGGAAAGTTCAACCCCTCTCCAATGGAAAAGTGAACTTTCCGTGCGGGTATGACGAAAATATTATTTACCTTTAACGGATATAGCATATCTTTAACTCACAAGAGAAAACAAGAATTCCGTTTGTTGATATTTTTCTGTAACCAAAATTGATCTTATAATAGTATCATTCGAATGACAAATATTGGTAATTTTTAGAGATAATTGATAGCAGGGAGAGGGAGGTTGGAGTTGAAAATGCACACCAAATGTGAACACATTTTCTTAATTTTTAACATCCCCCTCTCCTACCTTACTCTCAATTCTCTCTATTTCTAAGTAAACAATTGAAAAAAATAAACATGTTAAAATATATAATTTTAATTGTTTTGTAGACTGCAATAATTTTAATAAAATTTTTTTTTTATTATCAATTTAATACATTGATATTTAAAGAAATGAATTTTTGATTGATAGATCAAGAAAATAAGTATGATCTAACTGTGTGTTGAAATGTTATATACGATTTTTAACAAAAAAACGGGGATTTTGGGAGACATTCGATGATTTTTCGATTGCTTAGAGCCAAAAAACGAGGGGACCGCGATAGTATAAAATTACCCAAATATTTCTTTTGTATATGGAGAAACTAAGATACTGGTTACATTCTTTCACTGTACATAAATTATACTGTTTTACTTTGGACTGCTTTTAATCATATTTTTTGGTAATATAGCAATATTAAATCATGCAGAGTAAATTCATATTCCCAACATACCTCCTAAACCCCACCCATATGACAGGTTCTTAAATTGTCTTTGTATTACTTCCTCTAGTACTACATTTTCTAACCGAAGTCTTCAGCAGTTAACAATTTTATATATATATATATATATATATATACATATACACGAATAGTCCAGTCAAATGAGGGAAATGGGATAATTTTGGTTTGCTGCGGCCAAATTAATGATTTATAGATGACTGGATCGGAAATTTCGCGAGAAACACAATGGTGTAGGTTAAAATTGTTTGGTACGCATAGGGGGGGGGAGTAAATCGCGAAAAACCGCCCCCCCTCGCGAATTTCTCGATTTCTATGATAGATATGAAAAAATGTTTTAAATAAAAGTTGTTCAGAATTTAATTTTAATAAAAAAAGTACTGAACACTTTTTTTCATATCTATGATAGATAAAAAGTTATTCGCGACTGAAGCTTCACTATTGACAAAAGCTTCAGTCGCGTCTAAGAAAATTAATAAAAAATATTTAATGTTAGAAATATTACTTTTTGGCGATTGATTTCGAAAAATGAGATATTAAATTTCATTTTTAGAGAAAAATTTTTTTTTTTTATTAATTTCTTCATTATTTTCATAAACAATGAATTATTTAAATCATTCCCATTTTGGTTCAAATGCACCGATCAGCCCGATTTTGGGCTCAAAATGTGCAGAATTAAAAATGGAACATTTCATATATGCAAAGTTTTTCATTATTTTGCACCTGTTAAAAGTTATACAGGTATAAATATTTGGGCCCCCGAGAGCACTTTTCCTCTTCTGCCGCCGTTGGGTGCGACAGAGAGCAATACATATCTCTCTGCTTCATTCGCACTCACACAAAACTTCTGCGCATGCGCCGAGTATGGTTAAACATGAGTGCGAGTGAAATGCTCAATCCAACCGTAAGTGTGACAAAGACACTATACGGTGAGTGAAGAGGGGATGTTTTGGGCACATGCTAGTTGCTTTGAAAATCTTTCCGAGCTCGAAATGTATTCGCACGAGATTTTTTCTAAGTTTTACGCGCATTAAATGTTAGGAAATTTTTTTAATTTTTAGGTCCAATAATCATATATATTGATCGATAGAGAATACATTTCGTACATACATTCTCTATCGATCAATATATATGATTATTGGACCTAAAAATTAAAAAAATTTCCTAACATTTAATGCGCGTAAAACTTAGAAAAAATCTCGCGCGAATACATTTCGAGCTCGGAAAGATTTTCAAAGCAACTAGCATGTGCCCAAAACATCCCCTCTTCACTCACCGTATAGTGTCTTTGTCACACTTACGGTTGGATTGAGCATTTCACTCGCACTCATGTTTAACCATACTCGGCGCATGCGCAGAAGTTTTGTGTGAGTGCGAATGAAGCAGAGAGATATGTATTGCTCTCTGTCGCACCCAACGGCGGCAGAAGAGGAAAAGTGCTCTCGGGGGCCCAAATATTTATACCTGTATAACTTTTAACAGGTGCAAAATAATGAAAAACTTTGCATATATGAAATGTTCCATTTTTAATTCTGCACATTTTGAGCCCAAAATCGGGCTGATCGGTGCATTTGAACCAAAATGGGAATGATTTAAATAATTCATTGTTTATGAAAATAATGAAGAAATTAATAAAAAAAAAAAATTTTTCTCTAAAAATGAAATTTAATATCTCATTTTTCGAAATCAATCGCCAAAAAGTAATATTTCTAACATTAAATATTTTTTATTAATTTTCTTAGACGCGACTGAAGCTTTTGTCAATAGTGAAGCTTCAGTCGCGAATAACTTTTTATCTATCATAGATATGAAAAAAAGTGTTCAGTACTTTTTTTATTAAAATTAAATTCTGAACAACTTTTATTTAAAACATTTTTTCATATCTATCATAGAAATCGAGAAATTCGCGAGGGGGGGCGGTTTTTCGCGATTTACTCCCCTATGCGTACCAAACAATTTTAACCTACACCATTGTGTTTCTCGCGAAATTTCCGATCCAGTCATCTATAAATCATTAATTTGGCCGCAGCAAACCAAAATTATCCCATTTCCCTCATTTGACTGGACTAGAAGTGAACGAAGCACCTACATGTTCTTGTCATCAGGAAACAGTGGCATTTCGTCCGCCTATGCAGCAGAAAGCAAGTATGTCATCTGGTTATGCCGGAGTATTAGATTCACATCCATCAGAAGGGACTCATGGAGCAAAACAATCACGAGAAAGTATTAGAACTTCAAAAATTGTTCGTGGGTTAGCCGCTAAAGTAGATCAAATGCAGAAAAGACTCACCGTCGCTGAAGAGGTAAGCTGATAATTTTATTTATAATTTATTATTTAAGAAGGAATAAAAGAAGATCATTTCTATTTGAGTGGCAAACACCCAGGTAAAAGTATTGTAGTTTCTCTATGTAATAAATACTGTCAATAAAATAGCGTGGATCAGTTTGTGCACTAACGATTTTAAACAATTTTTTTAAAATAAATAAATCTGATGCTTTCTTTACTCAAAACGAAAATAATTACAACTTACGGAAAAAGATATAAGACAATAAAATTTAACATTGTTTCAGCGGATAAAAGTATTGGAAAATCAACGATTTTATTATCCTCCTGTTCCACGGACACAACCTCCTTCTCTTTCTTCGTACCATCTGTCATCGGCGAATTATTTGACACCAGGATATTATTATTAAAGAAGTACCAATATAAAAATTATTTATGTGTGTAAAAAGAAATTATTTTACTATTTCAATAAAAGTTATATTTAATTTCACGTAAAATTCTTCAAAACGAGCTTTTCCGCTACACGTGCAGCAAAATAGGACCTTTTAGTGGAATAGCGATGGTGGAACTTGGTTTGGTTTGTAAGAATTATAGATTGAATATTGATCTGTTTATACCATATATGTAATACTCCTATATTGCTAGTCGGTATAGGGAGGGAGACTTAAGCATTACGGTGCAGACATATATGCGTTTGTCTCATTTATTATACGCTGCGACTTGTGCGCATGATCGTGAATGGAGCGTGCGCATTAGATAGCATTTCAATTTGAACAAGGAATGAGATAGCATCCTTTGCAAATAGAATAGCGTCATTTTGCATATAAAGTAGCGTCTGTTTTAATAAGCAGACGCTAATAATTTAAATAATTAATATATTATTTAAATAATAGGTACCTGTGAGTGTAGTTTTGTGCATAACATTTGAAAAAATGGGCCTGACGTGCTATATATGCCGACGCAAAGCATCAAAAGGTGATCGAATCTCTTTACACGAGTAAGTTTAATTGGGTGTATTTAATTTTTTTATTGTATAATATTATAATATAAATTCGTTGTCGAGACATTTAATTTTACATATTACTTCTAAATAGGTCTCCGAAAAATCCAATACTCGGAAATAAGTGGATTATAGCGTGTAATTTATCCTCCAATGATAATTTAACGTACATTTACATTTGCTCATTACATTTCAATTCTAATGATGTCGATCGAGGAAATCAATTTCAAACAAGATGTACCTTAAGATCAAATGCAGTCCCATCAATTGATATCCCAAATAAAATGTACAACAATGAAAATGCAAATACTTCAAATATAGATGCTTCGTATAAGAATTCTCTCAGTAATGATATACTAAATATTGGTAGTGAAAATATTGCAAAAAATAATGAGTTTGGAATTGAACATACAAATATAAGTAGTGCATTTCATGATATGGCTCTTAATATCGACACATTTGACAATGTGATTGCTCATGCCAATCAATTTGAAATACTAATTGATAATGATGATAATAAAACAGAGCATGTCCAAGAATCACCATTACCTACAAATATGTCTGGCGATGAAAATAATTGTAAGTATTAATATTATAACCATTTTTACATTTTTGTAAAAAATATTCTTAGTAAGTGACGATAATGTTATTTCATCTTTTAGCTCCTCAATTATGTGATGATGTTATAAAACGACGTCGATTGGCTATTGCAAAAGCTACTGCGGCCAGTGAAGTAGATCAGCATTTTGTACAATGTAAATACAACAGAAAAATGATGTAATTGAATGACCTATATTCCGTGATTTATTTATTCCAATAAAATTTCTTTTTTACAGCTGAAAGTATTTATACTACGCTTAAGAGCAGAGTCTTCGAACCAAGATATATTTCTGAGATCAAGAGATAAGTCTGGAAAACTAAAGTGGCTAAATTTTTTTAAATATTTCAAAAGAAGTACAAAATACTGATTCAAATAGATGTATGTGCATCAGGTGAAGTGACGCTACATTCACGAAGATCTTTGGTGATCTTAATGTTAAAGAAAATATAATGCATCTAAAGTAAACGCTAGAAATCTGTAGAAATCGTAGAATGAATATTTATTTAAAAAAAATTTAAGTTACATTTGTTAAAAACAATAGTTGCTCATTATATTCCATTGATATATTATTCATCGTTCGTTTTTGTATATTTTTACTGAAATTAATTTGTTTTTAATTAAATGTAAAAAAACTAACTTCTTTTGAAATTGTCTCTACTCGTTAGGTTCAATTGACTCATTTTATATTTCTGAATCGAATAAAATTAATGTGTAGGGACAACATTTTTTTCATGTAATAATTATCCCAACACCGCTTTTGAAGTTCAGATATGAGATGTACGGAAGGAAAACCTTAACCTCGTAACATCAGCTATTATTTTTCCTCAACGAGCGGGGCTTTGTAAGTTTTCCATGGAAGGACTCAAATTTTTAAAAATATAAGTATCTGCGTTTTCCTGTAGATGCGCATCAATAGCATCAATGCCGTCATAAGCCATGTCATGTGATATCATTTGTAATTGAGGTTATAATTGATGTATTTACACATTATAAATTATTTGATTTTTATCTTAGAAAATAGAAAATTTATGACCTTTGTTAATAAAACAATCATAGAACTTTATTGAAGGATCTATTGCTTTGTTCGAGAGCAAAGTCTTTTCGATTTACCTAAGGTAAGTCGAAAGATTTAATAAACATACATATATGTAATAAATGATTTTGAATAAGGTTATAAAATTAAGCTATTGATAAACAATACTCATCAATCTTTAATTATATAATATTTAATGTAATAATTGTTTGATGATTGTCTACGGTGCTTCAAAAATACCTGTACAGAAATTAATAATTAATAATTTATACAGAAAGGTAGGGAAGCTCTTTAGTTACCAGCCTAAATTATATATCTTCATGTTTATTGAAGTTTCTAATTTTCATTGATTGAAAGTACGTCCGATAATAGCTATTTTCTTCAACAGCTTGAGTGAAGCACAGCTAGACTAAGTTTAGAGAGAAATGAATTGTTACTCGACAGCACTCAACAGCAACCACAAAAACTTTGGAGAAACTGTACCATTATATCCAGGAAGACAAGAAACAGGATTTTTAGCTACCTTAAATGTTAATTATTCAGCAATGTACTGGGTGTCTAAGGGAATGCCTAAGGAAAAAATTGTCATTGGTATTCCAACTTATGGCCATTCTTATCAACTTTATAAGTCACTGAATCATGAAATTATGGCTCCAGTTATCTAACAATTTTTTGGTTTATAAGCATAGGCGCTAATAAGGTATTTGATGAAGATAGTCGACCACTTCATTCTTATAGATACGATGAATGGATTTTTTACAATGATCGCGTTAGTGTTCTAGAACAAGTAAGTATACTTTTGATGAACGTTTTTGAGTTCTGTTTCTTCACATCATTTTTTTATTTAATTTTATCATCTTAAACGAATTAATGAAGTATAGTTGATTTTCACTTTATTTAATGAAATTAATTAATTTAATTATTTTTAAGTTAAATGAATTAAGTCAAATGGCTTCAAAAGTGCTAAATTATTCTCATTAAATACTGTTCTGACTTCGAGTCGGCCGAATGAGCAAACTGAAAACTAGTGGACTGTATGACTTAAGAGCAGAATAAGAACAAAAGGTTGGATGCTAGAAGGTTCTAAAATATAGTTAATTAACACTGAATTGCTTGGGTTTTATAGTTTTTATTCAACAATAACACTTAACATACTCAATAGAATTTAATAATCACTACATATAGTTGAGTTGACTGTACCATAATTGTTTGTACACTTATGAGTTGTCCAATGGTTATTTTTTCACCAAATAACATAGTCTCAAAAAACAGTGAATAGCAACATTCACAGTATACACCAGAGTTGTTCGGGGGAGCGATGTATAGGTGAATGTCCGTGAGGCACTATGGCGTCGACGCCAGTTCAGCTTCGCGCCCAAAGACACTACAAACTGAATATACTGGACCACTGGCACTGATGAGAGTAATTTGATGATTCACGTATCTTCGTGAGAGTTGTCTGAGTCTATCTGACCGTACTTTATTGTACAACGAGTGAGCTGACTGCAAACAACTGCGATTTGACTGCGAAAAATTATACAAAGATGACCGCGTGATTTGCCTGGAGCTAACTGACGCCACAAGTGCTCTACCGCGTGCTTGTTGGCGTCACTAGGGCCGTAGAGTTGCCTTCTGGGCCATGAGGGAAATACTTCCCGATGATTGGTCCAGTGAGTTGACTGAAGCGCCGGTGGACAAGTCCAGCATTACGAAATTTTGATTATTTCTGACCAACTGACTTGGGCCCCTCCAAGTCAGAACAAATACTGATGATTGAAACGGCAGCTATGATGATAGTATTAACGTAACATTTCCATTAACACGTACAGTAAGTAATAGTATACTTAAATTACAGGTTGAATAAATGATTCCAGGAGCTTAAATACAATTTAATACTTTGTGTCTATTAAAGTTTCTAATTTTTATTGATTAAAAGTACATCTAATAATGGCTATTTTCTTCAACAGTTTAAGTAAAGCACAGCTAAACTAAGTCTCGAAGGAAATGAATTGTCACTCGACAGCGCTCAACAGTATCCACAAAAACTTGGGAGAAACTGATGATAGAACAGGTAGAAAAAGAAGTCAAATTTCTTAATATTTATCTGTCAGTGTGATGGAACGAGTATGTTCTTGCAACCCTCGAGCTCATCTTTCTGGAAAACCTGATACTAGCTACACACTCGATTTTTATGCTACGTATTAAAACAATGTTTCATAAGCTCATGGGTGCTTACATGGTTCTGACAGTAATAGTGGAAATGGAGCGTTTTTATACTGTTGTGATGTATTATGACCAAATTGTAATAACATTTTGTAAAAGGAGTATTTACCCCTTATACAAAATGGAAGAAAAGTTTGACAGTTATTACTTACTGTATCATGTGATATTGGATATTTTTCTTTGCACTTATTATAAATATTATATAAGGTTCATTACGTATTAATCTTTTTATAATAAATCTTACGCTTTATAAGTCCTGATAATTGTGCAAATAATAATTGGGTAGAGTCGTAAGTTTATAAAACAATCATTGAACTTTTGTAGAATTTTTATACGTATGAATAAGAGAAATTTGTTAAGAATCTTTTATAGTAAATCTTACACTCCGTAAATCTTTATTATTATGCCAACAATAATTAAGTAGAGTCGTAAGTCTATAATACACTATTGGAAGTTTCGAAAATTAATTATAATATACATTCTTGCAAAGGAGTATTGTAAAAATTAACAAACTAGCTAACGATTAGTTCATTACAAATAAAAAAAAAATTTTAACTTGTAAATCTTACGCTCATTAACTCTTAATTATTGAAAAATCAGTAATTAAGGAGAACTGCAAGTGGATAAAAAGTCATACAGGCTTTTTGAAAGTCTTTATCAAATGATTTTTAGCATTTTTTAAAGTCGATAGTTTACCCTTATATTTTTTTATTTTTTCATTTTCATAACAGGTGGAGTCACAATAGGCACCACCTCAAATGGTATGAAACTGTTTGACTGACGGCCGTCAAACGCTCCCGGGAGCGTCTTCAATAGCCTCCTAAGTTTAAGGCTGGGCTGAAGTCAGAAAGGCGACTGATTCCCCCTATCCAAATACATGGGATCGGGAAATTTCTAATTTCTTCGCCAATTTACAATTATTTCTATAAAATTAGGTACCAAATTACAGAGGAATTAATGCCGGACTGACGTAAACAACAATTTTTTGTATATAGTGAATATTTTTGTTAAAAAAATTAGAAAGAATAATGAAAAAATTATGAATTGACTTACCGCGCTTAAATTTCAAGATGGCGGCCACATCATTCAGATGAAAAATCACTAATTATTTCATTTTTATACGTTTTTCGCCCAAAATTCGTGTTTGCGTCAGTCCTTGCCACCTGTCTGAATGTTAAAAAAATCAATTCATAGTATAAAATTGAATAATTTAGAAATAATTAGAAATCTTGTATTCCAGATGATATTCTCCGGAAAATTAGTTTGAAAAAATTCTGATAGGTGACAGCATTATGCTCGCAGATGACCTCAGTCATCCATATTGAAAAAATGCTCAATCCGTATCCAGAACTGATGGTGCCCTGCATTTTGGCGAGTAAATTCTGTATGTGTGTGTACAGGTAATATATGTATGTGATGTAAACATAGTGTATCACTTTACAATGCCCTACACTTTGATGACTATTGCAGTTAGGATAAAAAAAAATGATGATACTCATTTAACATTAATTAATATAATACCTGCAAATAACTTCAAATACATATATTCATCCATTATTATCATTTTTATTAGGTATAAATGTTAATAAGGAAGCTCAATTCCAAGTCGGCGTATCCAAGCATGTAGTATAAAAACAAATATACATTAACTCAATATCGAGATTATGCTGGCCATGTGGTTAGGGCGTCAGAGTTCTATTTTGCCGGGCAGGGTTCGATCCCGGTCATAACCAATTTTTTTTTTCTACTTTATTCGTTAGATTAGCATGTAATTATAATATTGACATGCTATAATTAATCTTTTATAACAATTTGATTTTTTTTTCTCTTTATTCATTGAATTTATTGACGCTAAGTCGAAAAATATTTGAACAGAGCCATAAACTTTCTTTTTGTATAAATACATTGATAATAGCCTGTGTTTAACAACTTATACATCTTTACATGTATTAACAATGTTATGTTATTAACAAGTTAATCATATTATTATCAACATTGAA